CACACACACACATGCACAGTGTACTCTGCGTGACTATCTTTTCTCTTTGTGTTTCCCGCACGCATTCCCCGATTACATCTATGCATATTGGTCGATAGCGTTACATCTTCACGTACTTAATCAGACGAGTAGTACATACGAACTGTATTGTTGTAGTCGGTCGAGCCGGCAATGAAATCATTGTAACAATACCAGCTGGCATAAAGCGGATATTTCGAGATCTTTTCGAATCCGATGCGTTTATCTGTCTTGAACTGGGACGATAACCCACTTTTGTCGACCTGAACGAGACACGAATTGTTTGACGGCCGTTTTTTGCGTATNGTGCATGCAGCTGCCCATGTATATCAAGTACTTTTTGTCCTACCATCTTACTGTTCCGCACATATATACGCACACACATACACACGAATCTTCTGGTTCAGTTTGCTGTCTTATTCTTTCTTTCTGGTGGAATGTCAATGGTTTGCGTCTCTGTCATGTTTCCGCCCCGGCCAACTGAGGACATGATACAATCCGCCCCATTGCATGTGCTCCACCAAGATAGGATCAAAATAGTCACAATGTCCGGATAAATAGATTCAAATTTTGAACGATAAATAAGACCAAAAACACCCCTATCTACTGACTTCCGTCCAGTGTTTATGTTGCTGATGGAGATTAGTTGTTCGATCGGAAGGCCTTGAAAAACACCTTCATCGGTTCTTATCACTGTGGCGGTTGCCCATTTCAGTAAACAAGCAGGAGGAAGATTGGAATGTTGCGAGCAGAGTCGAAGAAAAGATAGAGAATTCACATGGACAAAGGTTACAAGGATGATGAGTAGATGCACAAGCGCCACTGTTTGTGACACTCAGCCATATCACTCAGTGTTTTTAACCACCTGTTACGATGATCCCAAACTACCCATCCAGAAAGCCTAATAGTACCTATATGATGCGGTCCCCTGGTTGTGATTTTCCTACTCTCTCATCAGGTCTTATTTTGACCATCCTTCCCTTTTCCCATCAACTATCTACCTCAGCAAACACCCCGCGCCATGGCAACCTATCTGGTGACATGCGTAACACATGTCCCAATCAACGTAATCTATGGAGGTCGACCACTTGCTCCAGTGGGCGACCGCGGATACCCAAAACGCTGCGTCTAACTTCAGTGTTGCTTGTCGGGTTTCCCCACCAGAATTGTGCAACGCTGCGTAGACAGCGGTGTTCAAACACCGACAGTCTATCTTTGTCTTGTTTTCCTAATAGCCAAGTTTCTGTTCCATTTAGCGGAACTGCTGTGGCATGCACTCGACCCTTCACAGACAGCCGCATGTCGTGATTGCACAATAGGGGTCTCAAATTGGCAAGTGNGCCAATCGAGCCTTTTGTATGCGAGCCGACACTTCGTCCGTGACTAGTCCGCCGCGCGAGACATGGCTGTCCAGATGGCAAAATTTGATTTGTTGTGGTTGGACTACAGTAACTGCTAGTTTTCAGTGATCTTTGAGCTAACGCACTCTCTGCTATCTAAGGACCTAATAATAATCCATAATTAAGAATTTACTATTGACGGTACTGATATCGATTGCCTTTGCTCGTTAGACCAACTCGGATCATATTTAATGAGCGCGAGTGATTGACGAATTGTCTGTACTTTACAGATAAATTGCTTTCGATCGTGGATCGCAGCCCTATTTTGTACTCTCTCTCTCTCTCCGGTCCGAATGCGATCGCGTCGAAATTCAAGATCTTCGGTTGATGAAGCGGTCTTGTTAGGATTCGTTGATGTTCATCATAACTCTATCATTTACCTACTTTCACTATCTCTGCCATCAGCTAACATTTCACCAGTNTCAGATCTCAGTTTTGTGTTTCATCCGAACCGTCGATACGTAACTTAATTTTTTTTATAAATGGTTTCTGGCCGAGCACCAGGAACTGCTCCATATAGCTAACCCTATATCGAGATTTGCCGATCGTTATTCACCTGTCAGTGTCACACTAAGTTCCTCCTAGCACCACTGTTACTATTATAAATCCACAATCCCAAAATCGAACTGGTCGGTTGTTTCTTGCCTGAGTGATATGGGACGAGTAACCCTGGTTTAATCGAACGAAATATGTCACTTCCCAGCTTCCTTAGTGACTCGATCAGTGCCCAAACAGTCACGGTACTTAATCCACCGATTCTCTCGGGGATAGGCTATTCATTGTTGAATACTGTGCGAATCATCCTCAGATCCTGATGCATGCAGTAAGCATACTACTCATATGTGATGAATAATATTCCGGGACATGAGTAGTACGGCAGATATGCTGCTACCATTGCTATAAATGCAACCACAACAACTACCACTATTACTACTAGTAGTAGCAGTAGTAGTATGGGGATCTTCAATGAAGTTTGGATTGTTGGTTGACCCTTGTGGTTTACTCTGTCTATTTCTATTGAATTCTCCAATCGTACAAGTAAATTTGTAGGACAAGTAATCGATAATCAAAGTACTGCTGTGCGACACAGAAGAATGTGTGTGTCGGGTGGGATAGATGGGTGAGTTAGATCGCGGTGATAGCATTTGACGATCCGACGTTCCGAGGCAACTTTATATTTCACCGACATCACTTAATTACTTCCACGTTCGAGATTCATTCACAGTTCTTCATTTTTGTTTTTGGCATCTCATTACATTTTGATTGCGTTATTTTCATGTTCTCCATTTCTCGTCACCTCACCCAGCTGAGCAATCAATCAAAGCGAAGACTACCCTGCGGAATAGTATTTTTTTCGGGTCGTGCGCAGACGTGAACCCGATCTGTGTTCTGTCGCAGCTCCCCGTGCGACTCCCGCTTCGTTGCGATAAATGACCTCACAGATATTAGTCGGCATGCTTTTCACCCGAAAACCCGACGTCATTCCGAATAGCTTTATCACTACCACCACCACCACCATACATTTATTCTGAGAACGCCACATCGTCTTTGTCAACCCCTTTTCGTACACAACTCTGATACTTATTGCTCATCTTTGCTAACCGTTTCTATTTTTCATCCGTGTCCCGATCTACTCAGGCCACATTCGCTGACATGGGTCAGTTGAGTCGCCTATCCGGTCAACTCGGTCCACCCTCACCTCCGACCCGTTCCCCGGGAACTCCAACTGCATTCAATCATGGTTTGAATAGTTGCAATCGACACAGTTTACCCCCGGACTGCACGGATGCGAATGGACTCCGACCGGATGGATCAAAAGATGCCTGGCATTTGCTCGAAGCGGATCAAATTTCCCGAGTCGAGAGTGGCCCAGGCACACCGCGGCACTCACTGGATATACCGGATCCGCTCACTAGTTACGATTGGTATGTGAATCTGATTTACCGCGCATATATTCCCCGTATTGTTAACTATCTACTCGTCTTGATGACTGGCTCCTTTACTCCTTCAATTCATATAACGTGGTAATGTTCAAACACTTTGTTCTGCACAGTTGTCTTCTGTTTTCGCAAGACTATAAACTGTGTAATGATATCTGCTGGCTGTAAACAAAACGAAGCGTAATCAGCGGCTTTAAGGGTATACAAACATGTGATCTTTTTTGGATCGATCGGTATGACTGCACGTGATCTCCCACTCATTGTTCTGCATCGGTCGTGTTCACTTGATCAGTACACGTTTATAAGGGCCAATCGTTTCACTGAGATAGATAGTTTAGTTAGCTTGAATTTCGGTGAACTCTGTGGTTGCATCTAATCATTTCCTGTCAGCTGTTACATTCGATCAGTCGCATAGAATGTGGTACCTACGGTAAAAGGGGAAAGTGCATTGATTGCTGGCTATCAGACTCGCTTGGGTTGCAATTTTGGATTCCGTTCGGAGAGATGTATCAGTCAGTCCTTGTCGGATCCAGATGCGATCCAAATATGGTACAATGAAAGTTTGCTCACAAACCTCTCTACGATTATGAAGATTCTGGTGTGTGTGTGTGTGTTTGTGGAGGGGGGTTCGAGAAAAGATAAACTCAATACGTGAAAATCTCTGCTGCATAAATATTTCTTTTTAGTCATCTTGATAAACCGCATTTCTTTTACTAAGTTATCACTATGACATCAACGAAGTGCGATGTGCGATAATGTGCTTGTTTGGTGTAAAACTATCGAATGTCTTCCGTTGAAACTCCAGCCGCGATACTCTACAAGATACTGGTAGTCGGGATGTACGTACCGTCACCGCCTCCAATGATGAATACCTTGACGAGTACGTGCTTGGTCAGATACCTTTCTTTCAGCTTCCTGATTGAGGTGGGAAGCCTAAATCCATTCTAATCAATAGTTACCGACACTGGGGGTGATATGTCTGGATGTCGTGGTGAATGGTGGCGCTCATCCATTTCGCTCGCATTCCGCATTTTCGTCCATGGACTGCTTGATTGGTTAATTGAGCAACCCGACCAGATA